TTGGTCTTGACTGCAGCAAGCGGAACCCAACCAATATGTTAATGTGTTCCTATACTTTTTATTTCTTAGATATAATATTTGCATTTAAAATATGCAAATTCATTTGCTTTAAGAAAAATATATATTTTGAAAATTGGCAGAGAAAGCGAAGAAAACCTGAAGAACTTAATGCATGAAAGAAGGTGAACAATATAGGAAGGTATGCTGATGAATTATGTAAATTTGTAAAATACATTATATTGATTTCTTTCTCCGTTCCCCCTCTCCCAAATGATTTTAAATATGTTAGTTAAATTTCTTGAGAAGCACCACATAACAGTGTGTGCCATGAGATTTCTTATTTACTTTGTATAACATGGTTTTTTTATCTTTAGTGTCAACTATAACAATCTCTTGTCCGAAGACTGTCCTGCGTGCACTGCTCACCGGACGCTCAAAATATTGTCTTAAGCTCAAGATGCACTCCTAGCTTATGAAGCCACATTCTGATAGACCCATTTCTATCCAGTCTTGTTCACTAATTCATTTAGCACTTTTCTCACAAATCTGGCTATGAAACTTTATCCTTTTTTGTTGGGAGAAATTACAGTTTCTCTCTATTGTTTTCTTTCCTTCAAGAAATTACAAACAAGACTGCTAATTATGACTAAAAATCAGTACATATTTTTTCTTTGTGCTTCAATTAGCCAAGTTAAATGGCATAACTAGAATTCCCGTTTTGATTTCCTGAATCAACTAATGCCTTTAGGATGTGATGTGATTTAAAAACCAGTCTTCTAAAGCTCATACTTCTTCAGGGTAAGCAAGTAGAATCCTCCTCAAATGTGAATATGCCTTCAACACTGCCTCAGAACATGGCTGCATATCCTCTCACGATGCACCGTCTAAACCAGAATGGAAGAATGTTTTCTGAAAGTTTGTATTTTATATTTCCGCCAAGAGGTATTGTTATATTTCTCTTAGTTGTAAATTACTTCTGATTATACATACTTTTGAGTAATCTTCCAAGATGTTGCTTAGATGGATTTATGTTAGGAAATTAGGATTTTGAGGTTTTCAGTTGTAATTTGAAGTGGATTATAATTGCTAAGGAATTAGATGGACACTAGCTATCAAATTGGCAGAATTTGGAAATGTTACATATGTGTCAATAAGTTTTATCTGAGAAAAAGTTTCAATTAATTTTTCCATTAGTGAACATGAGACTAGGTGTCAATGAGGTTGATTACTTGGCATTTAAAGTTAACCAAGTTGAGCAAATGAAAAACTTGATAAGCAACATAATTTGATGAAAGCAATCTAGATACAAAATGTTTTGGTTGAAAGCATTTAATCAAATTGTAGCACAGTATGTCACATGTCAACATTTGTATCCATCATTTCTTTTCTTTATGGGATATTCAATATATTATTATACGATGAGAGTATGGTAAGTAGACTAGTGCATTTAGAACTTGTTTTAAGACTGGCTTAAAACACAATATAATTCACAAGACAAAGTAAAACAATTTTTCTGGAGGATAAGCTTTAACTTTATATAATTGCCACGTGTTTGTTGTCTATTTTCTGGAGGACTTACTATGTGCACAAAATAGAGGAGCATGTGGTAAGGGCTTACCCTGTGTACAAAGCAGAGGAGCCTTCAGTAAGGACTTACCTTGTTCACAAAGTATAGGTACCTATGGTAAGGTTTTACAAGTCATAGACTAAGCCTGCGACACTTCCTCCAATATTAACCAATCTCATATAGTAAAACGATAATACAAAAATCATGATCCATATATATTTTGTATCATAAAACTAAAATCAAAGATCGTTTTTTATTTCAAATAACATCCATACGTTTAAAATCAGAGAAAATAGTCTCGTTTTTAACCCAGAGAAAATAATCAAATGAGCATGGAACAAACTAAAAGACCCAATTTATTTCTCATGTGTACTTTGTAGTTATAAGAAAATGGGCCAAAACTTCAAATAGATTTCGAATTGGTTTCACGAATGAGATCTCTATTAAAGGGTTCGATAGCTAATGGATCAAATCAGACATTCGAGAGATGATACGTCAGGATAATTTAGGATTCGAATACATCAACAAAGTATTCAAGAACTGTGACACCAAGGCTATTCACGATTTTAGATGTATTAGAAAAAGATTCCAATATTCAAACATGTAAGGCCATTTTAGTCACTTTAATTTTTGAAGAAACTTTGGTAAAACGACTTAATAAGGATGAATCGTAATTTGCAGTATTCGAGATTTCTAACAACTTAATCAACTTCCAAGTCCAATCGACCTATATATGTCTCACCATTGTGGTATTTACCAAGAACTCTAACAGGAACAGTTCACGGATGTCGATTCCTTAATACCGACTGTATTATGAAGTTGAACAATTTACTTTTACAATTCTTCTTTTAACGAATCACAAGGAGACACAAACTTTATTCATATACTATTTATCCTTATTCTTGTAGTGCAAGAGTATTAGGAAAGGTCGACCATAACACCTATCCAACTGATATTTATTCAAGCACTGACCAATTACAACATGTACCGTAAAACATGCATAGGGTAGTAAAGTATTACCTCAATTTCCGTGCTACACCGATCATTTGTTTAACACCACTCGATCACTCTTAAACTTGAATATGGCGTCCCATAATATCTCAGATACATGGCAAAAATAATTCCATCAAAAATAGATTTAAACGCGGAAATCGAATCAAATAGGAGAATAAAATGTTGAAAATAGCTTATCGGGTTTGAATTTGGCAAAAACAAACCTAAAAACAAACTCAAGACATCAAAAAACCTCAAGATAGATGGTCTAAAAAAGGTTAACACCTGAGCAACGGGTCAATGGCAGCTTGACTAGGCTTGGCTTGATGGTTTAGCTAAGCAACTTGGCTCGACTCGATAGCTCAATTCATGCATATCGGTTCAGAAGACTCCCTAGGAGACAGACGAAGCCCACACGCATGGACGACACGTGCAGTGGCCCGCTGTGGCTGGGCGATCACCAAAAATTCCAGAACTAATTTTTAACTGCTTTTGAGGCACTTATAGGTGTTATTTCACGATGGGGAGCGACGAAGGGGATGATTTTACGAACACCTTAAACTTCTTTCGTTTCACCAGCCTCCACGACGGTGCTGACGACAAATACAAGGGCACCGGTCGACTTCTCTCAACGTCAAGAACACCATGGTGTCGATTGTGTAATGAACGGAGGTTTGATCAATGACAAAACGATGGTGAAACCTTCTTGGAAAAAAGTTACTAAAAAGGGAAATTAGAAGAGAGAGAAAGTCGGGAGGAAGGGGTTTCTGAAAATGGAAAACTCCATGTTTGGAAGCTTTTTAGCTCAACATAAATAGAAAATGGAAAAATTATGTCATAGATCCCTAAACTTATTGTTCTCTAAATTTGGATCCAAACTTAATTAAAAAATTCACTTTGGTCCTCATATTTAACTAGGATTTCAATTTAATCCTCGAAATAAGTTTAAGGAAAAAATTAGCCCCTATATTGGGGTGTGACAATATTAAAACCAATGTTGCCGTTAAACCCAATTGGATAATGTCTCTCTTCGGGATACTGTGATCAATATGACTTGGTAGAAATGATGTAGTCTTCAATAGTAAAAGTGGGTGTGGAGAGGATTTTTTCGTGATGGCATTGCTAAGGATATGTTTTTGGCGTAAATGTAAATGGTCGCGCTCGATCTCTTCGGTTCTCGATTTTTGCAGGTGCCTCAATGCTAATGCCATTTCGAAGAGGCAGTCTAGCTGAATTTTCATTTTATGGCGTTTGTCTCATGTTCAATTGGTTTCTGACGTCTATATTTGGTAGTGTGGATGTCTCGTCTGATCAGTCACCAGGGCCATATTTGCTTGAGTGAGTTTTGTTTTTATTGTTGAAGACTTGAAGTTTTGTTAGTGGTGTGCATAATTATGTCATTGTGTTCTGTGTTATTGTCTTGGGGTAGGATTCGATTTCGTTTGATTTACAGATTCTTGGAGTTGTTTGATGAGTGTTTTTGATTAATATGGTTCTGGTGTACGCTTTTTGGTAGTGCTTTGGTCAAATTTGAGTTGTTAGTGATTTTCCAGCTTTGAGTTGGTTGCATTTTTTTTCGTACGGTTTGATTTTTGTGGTATTTGTGGAAGGGGATGTTAATTAGTCACTAAAAGGATGTTTCTGCGCTTGGATCTAGTTGTGCTCGTTTAGTGCTGGGGTCGGTTCTTCAGGTGGTCTTTCTAGCTATTGGTATTGGTGCTCTAATCTGTTCGGTCCTTGGGTCACTACTCATACAACTATAGCTTTTGGGTGGGTCTTTTGTCTAGTTCGATTGGATATTCATTGATTTGATTGTCTTTGCGAAGGATAAGTGATGATATTTTATGCTTGTTGGGAACACATTTTTCGTTGTAGTTGGGTCGTTATATCTTGGGATTACGTATTCTTATATGTCGTTTATCCTTTTCGATATAACATGGTGCATTCTTTTTCCTCCATATAGGATCAGGGAGGTTTTTTATTGAGCTCTATGTATTTGCCTTGTTTTGTATGTATGTCCTTAATCATCATTCAGAACACCTTTTTTTACAAGACAGTAACCCTGGACATTAAGAAATAACAATAATTCTTTTACCACCGAGGTCGCTTGATTTGTGTAAAATTTTGTATTGTGAATATGTATACTCTTATATAAAGATTTTATATTGTTAATATATGTATATCCATTGTTTACTGTAAAAAAATATTTCTAAATCCGTGATTAGCATCATACTAGCTACGTGATTGTCCCTAAGAGCAAAGATGACTCCATCTCTCCTTGCTGGCTCCACTTCAAAATAAATGCAATAATTATCGATATATTCAAACATGAGTGATCATCTATCTATGTGTATATATTTGACACATCTTTCGCTTCCATGATTTCAACCATCAAACGTCATATTGACAAAATATATATATATAAAAAACAACAGTGTTCAAACATGGCAACAGCTCTTCTTTTCCCCCACCTACCAAACATTGTTGGAGTTGATACAAAATCTCTATGTATATATAATTCCTATATTTGACGCCTTTGTTGAAAGGCTAGAAACTAGTCCCTCATTTAAGCTTTGAAATTGAGATATTATATGTATATTTACAAAAACTCTTCCCTCTTATATAATTGTTTTGTTTCACGGCTTTCAGTTCATCCCAAAAGAATTTATAGCCAGCGATCATGTGTAGGTTGGCTTGGGGAGTTATGAATTACCAGCCCAATCATAATCCTGATACACCACGTTAATAGGGTCTCCATCAGCCAAAAGATGCATCAAAAGCCCCGCCTTGGTTGCATCCAAGTAATTCATCACCCACTCCACCACTTCTTTCTCTCCTCCAAAATCTACGCTAAACCTGTCAAGGTGAACAAAGGTTGCATGCCTGCTTTCAATTTCAAAGTTCTTTCTTTGTGTATGTTCTTTTGGGATCCTAACTATGGAAAGATTCTCTAAAGATTTTGAAGGGGAGGTGCGGAAATTATTCGACGGAGGTACAATATATATATAAATTGGCATTATTAATTTAGTTTAGTATATGGAAAACTTGCCAATTGATGATCCGAGTTAACGAAACTGTTCTCCTTTCCAAATTGATCTCAATGGCTCCATTCTGGAAGTACTCCCTTGCAACAGATCTTAACTCAGCTTCGACACCCTGAGGAGTGAAAAACCTAACCGTGGGGCTTGACCTTGTTCCATTGCATAGTCCAAAATGAATCAATGGATTAACTTTATCCGGAGCAAACTATCAATTTAAGAAGAAAGAAAAACAAAGTCAACCATGCATTGGTTCATGAAAAGTGAGGCAGTAAAGCAAAGAAACTGATTAAGATGGGGCCTTAGGAGGGGAGGGGTACCTTTAAGCGCCTATCTCCATTGGCAAAGGGTCTGACCAAGGAATAAGGAGACTTTCGATTGTTTCTAAGGATCCCATTCTGTATAATGCTGAGGGAGTAAGGGTACCCTCCGATTACATACTGGAAATCAGAGAAAAAAGCCCTTCTATCAAGTATTCCTTCAGGGTGTCCGATGGTAACTACGGCGTGGATGACCATGGCATTATATAAATTCAAGAAGAAGGCTAGCTTTTCATCTGGAGTTAGTAATTGGAGATCGACCCTTTGTAGATCACGAGTCAAATTCAAGTACCTGCAACAAATCACGGCATGGGGAATCGATGATTCACAAGTTAAAGCAATGGAGATTTTGTAACGCGAAAGAGTAGGAAATAAAAAAAGAAAGATAAACTACCTATTTGGTCACCCACTTATTATTTATTTTCTGTTTTGGTCATACAACTATTAGTTTTTTAAAATCATAACTAGTATTATGTTTAGATTCTATTTTCATCACCTGCCATTAAAAATGTCACTCTGTGTCACTGTTAATTTTGAAAAATATTAATACTTGGATGACCAAATTAGAAACGAAGTAATATGTGGGTGACCAAATAAGTAGTTCACCCAATAAAACAACCTGCGGAATTCTTCACTTTCGCCGATTCTGTAATAGTCAACATGGTGCCTGTCGTCCGATGCATATGCTTCGAGTATGGCGGACATCAGCTTGAAAAGCCTGTCGGCTAGAAAAGATGGGGATCTGGGTTCACTATCGTTCGTTGAGGTTCCAAAGTTAAAGCAATCTGCAATGAATGGCTCCTGCTCCAGGAAACGATAAAAATGTCTTCCCTCTTCAAAATCATTTTCCCTACAATAACTCATACACAAATGCAAAACTAAAATTATTAGTAATGTAATGGTTTGGAATATAAGTAATATATTTGGGTGGAGGATGTATCTACCCAAAAACATGTTCGATGAAATGCTTCCGGGCAATCTGTTTTGCAGTTTCCACACCCTGTAAGATGGACAAGCATTCAAATCAACATGTCAAACTTGATTCTACTCGAAAAAGCTACTTTTTTTTAACTAACGTTAAAAAATTAAATTCAACTCGTAATTTCATAAATTAGTTTCAGTACAACTTTTAAATATAGTTTAAATTATATAATATGATTCGAATAACTCGAAATTTTTAACAATCAGTATATTAATTTTCAATTTTGAGTCAAGATTTTCAATTCTTCATGATACATGTATATCATGTATGAATATATATAAAGTTGTTTAAATTAGAATCAATTAGTATCATAATATTATATATATATATATATTTATAACTAAATTTAAACAAAAATTCAAATAATTTAACTTGATTTGACTTGAATTTCATAAATTTGAGTAAACAAAATTTAAATTAAAATAATATTTAACAATTCAACTAATTTAAAAAAAATTAACTTGATTTAATTATATTAGATCAAATAATTGCACTGTGAGAGATACATGTGATTTAAAAAAAATTAAGTAAATGCCATGTAGAGTTTTCCGATTTTTCGGAGTTAACTTCATCACATATCCTTAGAGTATAACTCTCATTTTAAATTTATCTTTAAAGTTTGAACTATACTAATTTTATATCTAAACTATAATTATCATTCTAAATTAATCCTCAAACTTTTGAACATTTTAATTTCATCCACAAACAATAGTCCCCAAACTTTTTGAACATCCCAGTTTCATCTCAAATTGTATGTGTATAATAATAACATATTTTGTTAATAAAATCGTTAAATCAAGTTATATTATTATATTTTTGAAAAAATAAAATTTAATTTAAATTGTTATTGAAACTAACTAATGTTAAGATGAATTTGAGAATGAAATTGAAATATTCAAAAAATTAAGAACTAATTTAGAAAGAAGGTTATAGTTTAGAGATGAAATTATAATAATTAAAAATTTAAAGACTATTTTGAAGTGAGAGTCATAGTGTATAAATAAATTTAAAATTTTAAAGATTAATTTAAAATAAAGATTATACTTTAAATACATATAATAAAATTAACTCTAATTTTCGCCTTGGTTAAAGTGTTATAGCTTAGAACAGCCTTAAAGAAATGAATCATTACGCTTTGAAATCATAGGAATGTTAACAAACAACAATCTGCATTTATTATATACAATTATTCATATCATGGGATCAGAAATAGAATCGCAATATATGTATATAATAAACCTATACGTACAACTTAGGCAAAATTAGCCCAATAATGACGTAATAATTATTTAAGTTTCTACAATAATTTAAAAATTAATTAATAATTTACGACATTTATTATAGCGACTTCAAACTCGTCAAATAAGCATGATAAGTTTTAATATAAAAATATTTTTCTATTTAAATTTTTATAATGACGAAATAAATTTTAATGAAAAATTATATTTTTTTTTAAAACTTATTACCTCTACATGACAAGTTCATTCTTCACTATAATAAATATCGTAAATCTCAAAATAAACTTTAAAATGTTCTATTGAAGTAAATAATTTATCCGCCTAAATTACTGTTCTCAATTTACCTACATAACAATGCGGAACTAAATGGTTGTTAGGAGAGGTTATAACCTCAAATTCCAAAATTTTTTACATTTAATATACATACATACATATATATATATATATTTAAATATTTATAAGGAACAATTATAAATTATCTTTTTCACTTTCAATTAATTTTTTTTTTTGGAAATACTATGTTTACCCTCTCAAAACTATGATCCTAACTCCGCCCCAAACTTAAGCTTTGCTGCTAATTCTATAATAACGAGTGCTTAATATGTCGTATTGATCAATAATAATACTCACCGTCTCACCATTTTAAACAACCCATAATAACATTTTATTAAAATAATATTTTCATATTTTTTAAATTAAGTATATTATATATTAAAAATAATTTTATTTTTAATTCATAATAATAAATTGGATAACTAATGATGATGATATAGGAGTTGTGAACGAGAGCCATCATAATTGCATCGTTCACTTGCAGTTCATCATTAGTGTCTGGCCTCGAGAAGATAAATTTCAGTTTCTATTAATTATTAAAAGGTTTAAATATAATTTAATACTTAAGTTAAATATTTTCTTGTACATTAGTATATAAAAAACTATTCTTAAATTAGTTTTGATTTAGATATTTTTGTAATTATATAATTTTTTTTAAAAATTGATATTTGAATTTTATTTATTATTTTATTATTTTAATAAATTTTTTATTTTATTTAATTATTAAAATATTAAAATAATGAATATTATTAAAGTTTAGGTGCCAATCTAAAAAAAATTGATCAATTCGTATATTAATTTGAGAGTAAATATTTGAGTTAATTATATCACATGTACTCAAAACATAACTCTCATTTTAGATTGGTCTTTAAACTTTTAAATATTTCAATTTCATCCTTAAAGTATAATTGTCATTTTAAATAAATACTCAAATTTTTGAATATTTCAGTTCATCTTCAAACTATAACCATTTTAAATTTGTCTTCAAATTTTTTGAGTATTTCAATTTGATCCCAAATTATACAAATATATTAATCACATATTTGTTAATAAAATCGTCAGTCAAGTTATATAATTATATCAAGTTATATAATTATATGTTTGAGAAAATAAAATAAAATTTAGGTTAAACTATGGTTCAAACTAATTACATATTTGGATAAATTTGAGAATAAAATTAAAATTTCAAAAGTATTAGGACTTATTTAAGAAGAGGGTCATATTCTAGTGATGGAATTGAAATGTTCAAAAGTTAAATATTAATTTAAAATGAGAATTATAGTTTGATAACATATGATACAATTAATTCTAAATAATTTTTAGATATTGAATATGTATTGAATATTTTTATAAAATTGATTTATTGTTAAATAAATGAATGTATATTTTTATTTTTATTAGCAAATATTCTATAAAAACAATCCTATCATATATATATATATCCGAATAAGTCATTTACTTTGATGCAATTTGTTACTAAATATAGTGATTTGATTAAAGTGAGTAATTAAGCAATGAAAATAGACAAGTAAATAAGGAAATTACCTTTCTTCTGCCACAGTCAAGGTGGTGAATGATGGCTTCTAACATATCATCACCGGCGAAGCAATTCTTGACGATCTTCATCTTAATCAAACGGTCCTGAATCGGCAAACTCTGTCTCAGCATCTTCACAATCCCCACCAACTCATCTTCCTCCTCCTCTCCATCATCTTCGAATCCATAAACCGGTATTTCAGGGGCCGCATCACAACATTTCCGGCTCAACAATTCCCTCATTATCTTCTCCAACTCCCCACTGTTCCTCAACGAATTCAATGCCACCAATCCACCCAACAGATTCTCGTTGAAAAATATCTGGGGCACTTCCGATTTCCCAGTTCTCTCCATCAATTCCTTGGTCCTTTTGGGGAACACGTCCATGTTTATTTCGACGTATGATAGCCTTTTCTCTCTGAAGAATCTCCGAACGGCGGTGCAGTCTCGACAGTTGGACCTTGAGAAAAACGTTATTCTACCTTTTAAATCCAAGTTATCGTCTTCGCTTTTCATTTTCACTATGACTTTGATCCCGGGGATTTGTATCTCCGTCACCTCGAAGTTTAAGGAATCGTTTTTCACGACGATATCCTCTCCGTCTTTTTTTAACGACGATAAACGTTTCATGATCGCCGCCGAGAGAGTGATGCTTCGGTCTCTGATGTATTTCCCTATGTTTGGCATGGTTTCGGCTAGGGGTACGGATTGTGTGGGCTCCACTTTAGGCTCCTCCGGCGGTGGCTGCGGTATCGGGAATTGAACTTGAGCCTTGATGGTGAGTATGTACTTATTATAGCCATTGCTTTGATTTGATGATTGAGATTAACCTCGTTAGAGTTGGAGTCATCGCTTTTGTTAAGTTGATCGAAATTCAAATTCTCCTTATCACATCTGTTTTGATCTACCAGGACATATTCAGCTCCGATATGATCATCTGGCTTGGCGGTTCCATTAGCTTCGCCTTTTGAAACAGTGATCTTCCGATCATCGGAGTCGACGACGTCTTTGGGTGGGTCGGGGTTCATTTCCTTTTTTATTTGATTATTCCTGAAAGTAAGAAAGAAATTAAAAGAAAGGAGGAGAGCGATGAAAACGGAGAGATTGGATGAAAAGAAATTGAAAAGGGAAAGGAAATATATAAGAAAGAGGTTGAAGAAGAGGTCAGTGGCTTCCTTTTTACTTGGTTTTAGATGACTCGGCACTGAGTTTTGTGAGTTGACTCTGTATGCTGAGTGGGTACAGATTTGCCTGTTGGATTTGGGCCAAAGCCATTTCGTTGAATCAGCCGTATTCGTTGAATCAATCTAATTTGACTTGCCTGTTGTTTTAAATATCCACAATTCCGTTTCCTTTGACGGCTTCCTGCGTTATCAGAGTATTAATATATTACAACTACCCATAGAATGACTTGGGCTCCGTTTAGTAAAGTTTTAAAAACATTTTTAGTTAAAAGATTTAACCATAAAATCAATGTCTGTAGTGCATGTTAGCTGGCTCTAACAGCGAGAGAAGGCGAAGCTCAATTCTTCTGGTTTAGTATTCATTTCTTCTTCTTCTGTCTAGATTTCTTAGGGGTTCTATTGGGCAATGTCTGGTGATACTGCTACAAACTGGCGTGAGCTTTTTGCGGCGGGGATCGACCAGGAATTGAAAATTTTTTCACCTGCGGTGATAGAGGGTTCCTGCGTTGTCAAACCGTCGAAGGATGTGTTTGAGGAGGGTATTTTGGAGTGGAAATTTGCTCTTGTTGGTCAATTCATAGGTTCGGCTCTAGCTTTTGGATCCATTCAGAGAGTTGTCTCGATGCTTTGGGGGAAGGCTTCTCCGATTAAGGTAAGTTTTGCTGGGCAAAATTTATTCATTTTTTCATTTGCCAATTCAGTTGCTAGGGATTAAGTTTTAGACAATGGTTCATGGCATGTACAACATAAGCCGATCTTTCTTAAGAAGTGGGAACCTAATTTGAAGGAGCTTCAGTTTGATTTGAGCCGAATGCCGATTTGGATTCATTTGTACAATGTCCCTCTGGAGCTTTTTTCAAGGAGGGGGCTAAGTTACATTGCAAGCGCCGTTGGGAGGCCCCTCCATATGGACTCTGTTACAGCTGCTCGAGAGAAGCTTGAATATACTCGAGTTTGCATCGAAATTACTGATGGATCTTCTATTCGGGATCGTGTTGATGTGATTTTGAATGATGAATCAGTTGCTAGCATTAGAGTCTCAGTTCCATGGATGCCTAGTTCTTGCACGGATTGTGGGCGTTTTGGTCACTTTGTGAAGCTGTGCCCTCGGGGTAAAAAATCTGAACAGGTATGGAGGGCCAAGGGGCCTGTCAATGATGCTCAACTGAATGTTCCTTCTACTAGTGGCAAGACCTCAGATGATGTTAACATCAATATTATTGCATCTGAGGGGCTTAGTTCTGGCAAGGGTAATAATCATGCAATTAATGATATTTTGCCAAGTACTCAGGTGGGAGCTATCGGGTGTCTTGCTACTGTCAACCCAGAGCTGGGTGGTGATTGCTCTGCTACTCTTGAGTTGGTTAATCAGATTGATACTGTTACAGATGCCAGTAAAGTATCTGAGAAAGGTATAGGTTACAATGTCTTCACCATACAAGCTGATCCCCTAAATAATCCTCTGGTGAAAAGAGGCAGAGGAAGACCTGCCAAAGAGGGTAAGATTACTGGAGGAGCCTCAAAAAAAAAATTCAATGTCCTCAACTCCTTAGATCCTGACAATGTACTGGAAATTCCTACTGTTGATTCTGGTAGAAAACAGAGAGGAGCTTCTATGGGAGTTGCTAAGCTTGTTCAAGAGCTAAAAATGAAGAAGAAAGAGCATGTGGATAATGTTAAGAAACTTGAGGCAAGAGGGGCTCCTTCTTTCTTCACATCTGCTTCATGTTAACCTGCTTTTGGAACACTAGGGGTTTTAATAGCCCCCTAAAACAAGGAAAGGTTTTGAGTTGGGCTTCTACGAATCATATTAGTATCCTTTGCCTTCTGGAAACTAGGGTGAAGGAAAATAACTCCTTAGCTATATTGTCAAGTAAGTTTGGTGACTGGCGGTATTGCTGCAATTATGATTTTGCTGAAAATGGACGTATCTGGGTTCTTTGGCGAAATGATGTAGTTTGCTCTATTATCTCTTCTTTTGATCAAAGCATCACCATTAAAGGTTGTTTTAAAGATATTGAATTCTTCCTTACTACTGTTTATGGCTCTAACGATGGCTCCATTCGTAAACATCTTTGGACCCAACTTTGCTCTGTGGAAGCCTCTGTGGGAGATAGGGCTTGGCTAATTGGTGGTAACTTTAATGTCATCCTCAATGTAGAGGAAAGTTCTTCACAGATCAACGCTGGTACTTTGGCTGATATGGTCAATTTTCAAAGTTGTGTGGTGGACTTGGGGCTAACTGATCATCCTTACACCGGTCCACTGTTTACCTGGTCCAACAAGCAGCAGGCTACTTACTTAGCGCGCAAGCTGGATCGGGTTCTCGTAAATTCGAATTGGTTTGAAATTTTTTCTGCCTCTGATGTTGAGTTTCAGGCTCCTGGAGATTCTGATCACTTCCCTATACTTGTATGGCTGTATAAAGAGGTTCCTGCTGCCAAGCCCAAACCGTTTAAATTTTTTAATTTTTGGGCTATGCATCCTGATTTCATGTCCTTAGTCAAGGACTCTTGGCAAGACCTAGTTAATGCAAATCCTGCTCAAACTCTCTTCCTCAAGCTCAAGAGGCTGAAAATGCATCTTAAGGAGCCTAATAGAAATAGCTTCAATGACTTATCTGGGCAAGTTAGGGAGAAAAGAGATAAGTTGAAGACCCTCCAACTTGCTAATCTTACTCCTGCTGCTGCTGGATGAAATATTGATGCTGAGCTGGAAATTGAAAAGGAGCTAAGGGCCCTTGAAAAGGCTGAGTTACTATTCTACAAACAGAAAGAAAAATCTGACTGGATTAGGGAGGGGGACAAAGGTACTCAATTTTTCCATTCTATGGTTGCCACCAAAAGGAAATACAGTACAATTAGAGTCCTTTACAATCAAAATGGAGCTAGGCTTGACACTTTTGACGACATGTCAAATGAAGTGGTTAGTTTCTTTGTGAACCAACTTGGAGTGGCTGACCCTGCGGTTAAGGCCAGTTCAGTTAGCATTATCAAGGATATCCTTGGTTTTTCCTTGACAAGTGAAGTTGCAGATACTTTATGCATAGCTATTTCTGAGGCTGAAATTAAGGAGGCCTTATGGGGACAAGGCAACAACAAGTCCCCTGGCCCTGATGGGTACAATGCCTTCTTTTTCAAAAGGGCATGGTCTATTGTTGGAGAGGACTTCCTGGCAGCTGTTAGGTACTGTTTTGATCACTCTTTCATGCTTCCTTCTTTTAATGCAACTGTTGTGGTGCTTGCCCCTAAAATTCCTAATCCTAGCTTAGTGAAGGATTTTAGGCCCATATCCTGTTACACGGTTGTCTACAAAACGGTTACAAAGATTTTAGTGAACCAACTCTCTTCGGTCTTCCCTAACATGATTTCTTTAAATCAAACTGCATTTGTGAAAGGGATGAGCATAATAGACAATACCCTCCTTGCTCAGGAAATCGTAAGGGGTTACTCTAGAAGTAAGATATCCCCTAGATGTGCCCTTAAAGTAAACCTACAAAAGACTTTTGATTCCTTAATTTGGGGTTTTATTAATGTAATCTTGCATACCATGGGGCTGCCTGAGAAGTTCATAGGCTGGACATGGGCTTGCTTTGCTAATCCTAGATACTCCATTATTTTCAATGGTAGTCTTGTTGGATACTTTAAAGGTGCTAGAGGAGTGAGACTGGGTGACCCCTTATCACCTTACATCTTTGTCCTAGCAATGAATGTCTTATCTAATCTCTTAAACATGGCAGCTGCAAAGGGTATCTTTAGCTATCACCCTAAGTGCAAGAGGATTGGGCTCACCCACCTCTGTTTTGCGGATGACCTCCTCATATTTTGCAAGGGTACCTTAGATTCTATCATGGGAGTACAGGCTGTGCTGGACCACTTTTACTCCATGTCAGGGCTGAAGCTCAATGCCAGCAAGTGTGAGTTGTATGCTGCGGGCATCCCTGATGAGCAGCTCGCATCATCAAGGAGAGCGCTGGTTTCAAACTGGGTATCCTCCCAGTGAGATACTTGGGAGTCCCACTTGTTACCAGGAAATTGACTGTTAAAGACTGCCAAGGCCTTATTGATAAAATTAGAGCAAAGCTTAGTCTGTGGACTAGCAAGCACCTCAGCTTTGCCGGTCGTTTGCAGCTTGTTCGTTATGTCTTACTCAGCATTACTTGTTACTAGAGCAGGCAGCTTATTCTTCCTCAAGCAATTATCAAGAAGGTTGAGCAGTTGTGCCCTTGTTTCTTCTGGAAAGGGTCTGATACCCCGACCAAAGGTGCACGTGTGAGCTGGAAAACTATTTGTTTGCTGAAATCTGAAGGTGGATTGGGGATACATGATATTGGTGGCTGGAATAAATCCTGCTCTGTTCAGTTAATCAGAAAACTTCTGGCAAACAATGGCTCCCTTTGGGTGGTGTGGATGCGTTCTTATACCATAAGAAATGCTGACTTCTGGCAGATGGAAGTCCCTAAGAACGCTAGCTGGAGCTTCAAATACTTGCTGAAAATCAGGCCTGAAGCTGCTCCCATCTTAGTGGGTCAAGTCCAAGAGGTTAGCACGAGTTACATCTGGGATAAGCTTTGCTCCCCAGCTCCTAAGGTTCCCTGGCACCACTTGGTCTGGTTCTCAGGTCGTATCCCCAAGCATAGTATCATCGTCTGGATGACCTTACTTAACAGGCTCCCTACTCGGGTAAGGCTTCTGCGTATGGGCCTAGACATAGAAACAGATAAATGCTTGCTGTGTGGTGCAGAGGCAGAGACAAGGGATCATTTATTCTTTGAGTGCCAATTTTCTAAAGAGCTTTGGGGTTTTATTCTCAACCTTTGCTGCATTTCTCGTAAAGGTTGTAGCTGTGAGAGTGAACTGGCTTGGGCTTCCTTATTATTCAAGGGTAAGTCCCTCATTGTGGGTATCCTTAAGCTTGTCTGGTCTAGACACATTTATTGTATTTGGAATGAAAGAAATGTCAGATTGTTCGGGAATAGGGCAAGATTGAAGGATGAGCTTCTAGGTGACATAAAAGAGACTATACGCATCCGACTGGTGGGCAAAGTTTTAAACCGGTTAGACTTGGTCAATAATGCGCTGTGTGCCAATTGAGGCATTGCTTGAATATTGCCTTTCTTGATGTTCTAGCCTAGTTGTCTGGTTTTCTTTTGGTTCCCCTTTGTGGTTATTCTTGCTTTGTTTTTGTGATGTTTATTGCTTCTGTATTCTGTAGCAGGATTTTCTGCTTCTTGGGTAATGAAATTGAATTATCCAAAAAAAATCAATGTCTGTAATTATTTTTGTGATACAAACAGTGGGTTTAAACCAACCCTAAAACCATAGGGTTTTTAGTTTTTTTTTTTAATTTCGAGTTTAGAAATAAATTATAATTTTATCCTTATTAATGTATGGACTCCAATCAATTATATATTTATATAATAATTTATTACTAACATCCTTAAAAATAATATATCACTTTTAATAATTTATTTTAATCATTTAAAAATAAATAAAATTTATTATATATAATATTTTTGTTATAGTTTAAATTAATATAATTCATAGATATAATAATATTTTTTAAAATTTATTACAATTTAAATTTATATGCTTTTCATATAAAGTGTAAATATGATTTAAATACTATACTTTTATTTTACAACATAATATCTATAATGAACAATTTATCTTTTAAAACTCAATTTTTAACAACAATCTCAAATAATTAAATTTTAAACTGCACTTTTGTACAACACTTTTAAAAGTTCGTAAAAATTCGTTTCTACAACACTTGTAAAAGTCACTTTTTCAAAAGTTATATCAAACAACTAACCCTTATTGGTTTACAAGGAAAATATGCATATAATTCTAAAATATATTAAAATATTGGGTAAAGTACAAAAATAATTCTCGATTACAGGACGCTATTTTGCTGAGTCTCTCGATTATTAAAAGTTATAGAATGGTTCATCGACTATAAGATAAACTATTGGATTATTGTTCCTGCTAATTGAGATACGATAAAATTCGATCCCAGAAATGTGCAAGTAAACATGAATAAAATGTAATTTTATCATTATTACAACCAACAAGTTAAAGTACAACTCAAATGACCACCAATATTTTAGCTAGAAATGACGAGTTTAGAACCTAGGAATAGTCGAATGACCAATTTGTATATTTCAATATCCAGATGACTCAATAAGGGGTTTTCTATAGTCAATGAACCATTTTATAACTTTTAATAGTCGAGTGATTCAATAAAATAATACCCTATAGTCGAGGAATCATTCTTGTATTTTACCTTAAGATATTTTATTTATAAATTTTAGACAAAATTATAAACAAAGAATGATTAAAACTGAACTGAATCAGTTAGAATTTAAAGGATAACTACCGATTGGACATGCCTAGTCTCTTTCTTAACCAAGTCAAGATGACCATAAATAAAATCTAACTCAACCAAATTTGACCAGTTTTACATTTGGGCTTAAATTTGTTTTAGATTAGTGCAAGTTGATTCACTTATATTTTGTAATAACAAAATATCTCGAGTATACTTTATTCAATGTCTTTTTATATGATGCAATAACAATAATACTTTTCGAATTAAAGTATAAAATATCTTTAAATAAATAATGGGATTATATATTAGGTTAGAATATATCATTCCTTACTTAATTTTATTTTCTTTCATATTTTATTTACTGTACTTTCAATTTTTCTAATTTACTCACTAAACTTTCAAATTGCTCCTGTTTTGATCACTCTGAATTATCTTACTATTATTTTCATATGATGTGATATTTTTATTTTTATTTAATATAAAAAATTTATTATTATTTCAAAGGTCGACGGTGGTCTACAATAGGCAGTAATTATTTTAATTTTTTTTAAATTTAATAATAATAAAATATTATTTTATTATTTATTTTAAATTATTTTATATTTAATAATTAATAAAAATGTCAAGTCATAAGAAGAAAATAATAAAATAATCTAAAGTAATCAAAATAGGAACAATTTAAAAGTTTAGTGAGTAAAATAGAAATAATTTGAAAGTACAATAAGTAAAATATGAGAGATAATAAAAATCAGTAAAGAATTGTGTAATTTACTCTATGATATACAAAACACGTGTTCAAATTCAAACACAAATACAACAAGGTAAAAATTGAAAATGACTGTAGAGGATAATAGAAAACTTAAATTATTTTAGTAAAAATGAATTTACTTTAGTGATTAAAATAATTATTGTTGTTTTTAGAAGATATTGATTCAAGCACCAACGACTGGAAGAGACATTGAACGTTTATTGTCAAATGATTAAGAGTATTTAAAACATATATTATTTTATAATCACTTTAATTTAATAAAAATAAATTCTTTTAGATTTATGAAATTATAAAAGTATAATGTATTATTACTTAATTACTAAAACAACAATGTATCATAATAATTGAAGTTAAGTAAACGTTTTATTAAGAATTTTTTAATCTAAATTTATAAAATTAACATTTTATACTATTTAATTCTTCATGTAAAATTAATATATTTACAAAAATATATAAATTTTGTTCAAGGGAATACTTTTTAAAGAAATTTCTAAGGTGATTAAAAAGTAATTTTTTTAAAAAAATAATATTTTTAATATTTTTTAATCGGTTGACAACATATATACATATTATAATTATATCTTCTTAAATATAAATCATCTAAAAGTAATATATTTTATCATTTAGATTAGTCAATAATATTTTTAAAGAAGTCATGAATCATATATAATAGAAACATCGTGACAAAAAATGAATCCAATCAGCCCAAAAATTGAGGTCCATCGTATGAAAGTGATGCTATCTTCTCATCCCATTAAAAACATACTATACTAAAGGACAACTGATTGTAGTAAGCCCAAAATGACTCCTAGGCCTAGCTGGGTTTTTTGCCAATAAACCACGGTTTTTGGCCCAATAGGGCACACACTTAAATTGTTTGGCCCATTAGGGCACCTTAAAAATTAATTTGGGATCTACGGCGTTTTCAGGGCGAACTCATCACCTTGACGAGTTCCATATGATATAATTTTTATATTTTGGGCCCAATATTTTAATATTTCCTGGGTGGCGAGTTCTATTAAAAAATATTTTTAGATTATTATGCGAATTTATTGTTGGAAAGAAAAAAATACAAACTTAATACATTAACATAAGGAATATTATAGGACTAACCTTACGAACACCATAAATATTAAATAAAATCATTAACATAGCAGTTTTGATTAAGAAGTTTTAATCTTCGTAATCAGTAGACTCGTCAGAGGTAAGATTAAATTCTTCAATTCCTCATTCTTTTTGTTATTGTCGTTCATGTACGAATTGGAACCATGCTTCTGGATCGAGTCATAATTGTATTTTGAAACACTCGTTGAAATATTTGGGATGTATTTTGTGGGCTCCTCGTATTTGTAAACTTGAAAACTATGTCTTTATTTTATGATTATGATTCATGGTTTTCACATGAGATTTTCAAGCTTTTAAAATGAAATTTTTAGGTTAGCCACCTTGGTGGTCCCATGTAATGTTTTAGTCCATCGATCTTCGAGTCGTATTGGAATAAGACGTTACATTTTTAAAGTATAAATCTGATCTGACCTAATATAAAATAATGATCTAATTAATAAAAACTATAGAAAGATAGGGTATTATAGAAATTATCAATAAATGTATATAAAGAAATCAACTATTACCTTATATCAGGTCAGAGATTTTTCACCCTCCACTCGAACCTGATTCGACCTCACCCCTATATGATATTCGACTTGATCTAAACTCGAAACATTTTTTAAAAAATCTAACTTTATTAAATTTGATCGAATCAAAATTAGTCGATTGCGATTAAATTGTTATCCCTAACCACATTTTAGGTATTATATTTCTTTTTCTTGTTTCTTTACTTTTTGTACTGATTGATTTAACGATTGTGTAATTTCCACAAATTTAATAAAATTTGGTTGTGTGTTTTCTTGATTGTTCTTGGATTTCAATATTTGCTTTGGTTTTGATTTACTTGAAAGTCTTGGAAATTTTGTGAAATAAAATATGATAACTTGTGATTTTGGCATGTAAATTGAGAAATGCTTAAGGATAAACATTGAATAAGTGAGGGGGAATTTGATAAGTGATTAAAATAGTTAATATCTTGTTATTAATTACTCCTTGTTTCTCGGTTTATATTGTTGATTTGGGTATTTCTATTCATTTTCTGTGTAGGACGTTGAATTCCAGAAATAATATTAAAGAGGCACAATTCTGATTTTTATTTTATTTTTTGGAATTAAGGTCGGCTTAATGGTCATGACTACGTCTAATGTGGCATCAATTCATCAGCTTCTAGAAGGTCCAATCAACGTTATGGAAGGTGGACAGGCGGATAAGCTTCAATTCGAATTCAAATTAGGATAATATTTGATTTTAGGAACTATCTTTGTTATTTAGTTTGGAAAATTTCAAGAATTATCTTTTATTATTTTTCAATGATGTTTAAGGGGTTTTAGAAGGCTATAAATACCCCCATCTTGTTAAGCCTGAAAACATATCTCGAATTAGTTTGTTCTTTTCTTTCTTTGTTTTTATAAAGTTCTTCTTTTCTTTAATTTTGTTTTCTTTATTTCCAAGTTTTTTATTTTCTTTTAAACTATGCTCAGTATGATTTCTATCATACTTTGCTAATTTTTCAATAAGCCAAATACTAAAGCGATGACTCAATTCTAATCGTGAGAATTGAAAAGAACTTAATACCATTCGGGTTACATTCTCAATTTTCTAGAATCAGGGATTGGCAATCGGTCATCCTTTCATTTCAAAAAGGAACTTTTGTTTTGATTGTCGTCTCGATTTAAAGTTGGGATGAAGGATCGGCTTGTAGCACATTCGACTTCCTTTAAACACACTTAGCGGAGGTTTGCTAATAGAAATTGAGATCGGATTCGATTCTCATTGAGATGACATAGTCCGAGTCAGGTTATTCCAAATCTTTAAATTGAGTTGGCACTGGTGACGATAGTTGTAGTTAGTCCACAAAACAACTGAAATTCAAAGATAAATTTTGGATTA